TACTAAAATAATTGCACTCCCATTTTTTGTGTACTGTGGGAGACCAGATATAGTGAATGCAGGGTCCTGGGTTTAGTAACACTTTAAAAGTGTCATTATAAGTATTATTATTATTAGTAGCAGTAGTCGTAGTCATATTAGTACTTATTACAGAAAAAGTGCACTATATCAAGAAAAAAAAAGGGTAAATCCACATGCACACATTTTCTTTGGTGAAACGTTATGTTTTTGCTCTTTACACACAGTCACACATGCATGAAAGCAAATGTACACCCACACAAATGGTTAATATATCTCCCAAAATTCTGCATTTATTATTTAATAACCTAATGCAAAAAGAAAAGTTTTACAGTAAAGCGCAGCAAACAGAATCCTATTGTAAACAGATTAAAGACTAAATGGATATATACAGTACATTTTCCTATATAAGCATGTACAGATTTAGGGTAATCCCCAGCATATAACTTATAAAGCATAAATGCTGGTTTAGAGCAAGACTTCATGTGACATCCTCAGTGTTAGAAACTAGGGAGAAGCTCTGGACTCAACCCTGACCATCCCCAGTATGCACTCTGCATCAAGGGAGGCAGGGCCTGTAACATGTTGGCCTATACAATGCGCAGCCAACCACAGACCCAGCATCCTGCACCCAGAGTGCATACTAGAGCCACAACTTAGTTGCTAGCGCGGACGACACCGTATGTCAGCTGATAGCAAACCACATGTACCTTTTTATGTGACATGTGCCGACAGATTTCATAATGTAGTTGTGTAATTCATATTACTTTTTAAGTGGTCAGAATAATGAAAACTGAATTTTTATTTGATGATATCTCAGAAGCTACAGTATGTATCATTCTACTAAAACTGAATTCCAGATAAACAGCTGAATACACAGATGAAGTGGAGAATTTTAAAGCATATTGAAACTCAAAAGCTAAATCTAATATACTGCAGTTTACCAATCTTCAGATATGCTGCCTGCATCCATTCCTTAGCTTTCTTTTTATATTTTATGCCTTTATTTTCACCTGTTAATCTAGTCAATAAGTCTAGTAGTTTCCAACTTAATTTGACAGATAAATCTGTCCAGCAAAAGTGACAGTTTGAGGGTTAAGACAAACCATTTAACACTGGCAAGGTTGTTTCCAATGGTTAGCTTTTATTAATTTACCTTTTTTCATTCCTTTATCTCAAAAGGAAAAATCTGTTGGTGTAATTACTTAAAAAGTGTTGGTTATAGTTCATTTTTAATTTGGTAGTCAAGTCCATCTAATCTACTCGTCCATCTAGCACTACTCTCTACACAGATTGACAGTGTTGCTGTCCAAGGGTGGCTTCATTGCTCCTCCGCAGAGTGCAGCAGCCTTAAGAAAGGAAGCATGTTACTTGCTAGATTACCAGGTAAAAATAAAGCAAAAAAGCTGCAGCCACAACATTTAAAGATGGCAAGCTGTGGTATTTCTATTTTATGGATTTAGATATGCTTTAAATGTTAATTGCCATCTCTGCCCTGATAGGGGAGATTTACTCTTCATTCCTGTCTTCCTATTACTGTGCAGGACCTAAGAGGAGATTGCCCAATAGAGGCACAAAAATCAATTAGAACACTTTTTTAGAAGAGAGGTGAATGGTTAAAACCTCTGTGAGTTGTTTTAAAGTTTTTCTTTGTGTCACCACTGGAGAGAGTTTCCTTCACTACCTTTCCAAGAGACAGTCTGTACATCTTGCCGAAAGGGTGTCATTGGCACAGGATCCTACTGAAGTCAGTTGGACTGGAGGTGATTTATAAAACCTCTTCATATTTTACTTGAATAAAATGTGTTTAACACAGACTTGGCTAAAATGCCAGTGCTTACTCTTCATAACACTGGACGGCATTAGTGAATATTAGATCATCCAGATATAGAACAACCCTTTGTCAGCACATATTGTGATCTTGAATAAGCTGCTGCCATATTACAATTACAAAAAGTATCTCAAGTAGTGAACAACATACTGAAATATAGAAAAGATTATGCAAGCAATAAAAAAAGATATATTATATATTTATTTGACTTATTAAATACAGTTCATGGTGATATTTTATTTTACACAATAACTAAATCTGAAAGTGATGAATCTTCTTGCTGAAAGATTATATGCTACCATGTGCATGTCCTTGTTCTCAAGAACATTTCATAGAACTTGTAGCGTCTGCCACAAAAAATCATCCATAGAGCTGTGAATTGATGCTGTACACCAAGAACAAGAAGTACAAACAGAAATCAAATGTTGCTCCAGGCTGAAGACGCATCTACTGGTTTGGCATTCTGTATTTGACTCATTCGCTATATCTTTATGATCTTTACCCTCCCTTGATGAGTCATTTGACAAAAAAGACACTCTCGATAAAGAACTTGTTAAGTATCTTTTCCTTGAGATGTTCTTGTTTAAGAAATAGATTACAATGACAGTTTTAAAAGTACAACTGTGGCACCATATCATTTTGAGAGTTATGTAGCATGCTGACTTTTTAAGTACTCTATTAAGGTTTGTTTTCTGCTTCCTTTATTTTTTATGATTAGATTACTCAACTAATTTTAAAGTCATATAAAGATTCTGGATAGAATCAATAATTAACAGTCATGCTTGGAGCATTTTATTTTTTAAGACACTGTAAGTTATTTTGTAAAATGCAGGCTGGTATATTTAATTTAATTTTGAGGTTGTGCTATAGAGCTACAGAGAAACTGCTTAAAACATGAGACACATTGTTTACGATAAGTACATGCATGCTCTGTAATGTGTAACACTTAAAGCTATTTACTACCTCTCACACAAATCACAGACCTGCCTAAGACAATGCCTTCATATGATTTGCTAAAGAATGGTGCCATCTTTCTTCACTCATCATCCCAAGTCAGCATCTACTACATGCACTGAGATGTTGGCTCAATCACAATCATATAAATCCTGTATATGAAGTTCTTGGGTATGTTCACAAATATCTGATCAGCTTGGTGCTGTGGAGCTCAAAGACAGCTTTTTAATGAAAAATTATGACATGTCAGGAATGCATTCATGGAGACTCCAGTGTCCTGAAAAGTCCACTTGCAGCATGTGAGTCCCTCAAACGATTGTGGTCATTTACCTTGGGCCATTTATTTCTTTCTAAAACAGATTTCATTGTTTTGCTTATTTGCTCTCAAGTTGATGGCAATAAGTGGTTTTGAAAGATCATTGAGGAAAACTGCATGTCAAAATAAAAAGATCTAGGTGTACAAAGAACAGCTAAGGTTATTTATATCTTAACTTGTGAAAATTCATCTGGAACTCTCCTCCCAACCATCTGAGCCTGCCTATCGGTCACTGAGGATGCCACTCATTATGTTAAAGTACCACTGAAGAGGCCCAGGGGGTTGAGGGGAGGGGGGTGTTACACTGAGCTTTTACAGCAATACCTTTATAATAGGTAACTATATATTTGGGTCTGCTGATTCCTGTGAATTGCAGTTTCAAATAATATTACCCTTGACTGTGATTATCATAATGATAAAAAATAATTATCATATTCTTACCATGGAATACTTTGGCTTGTGACAGGTATACTTTAAAAAGTATATTTATTCAGCTGTCAGAAGTATAAAAAAACTGACCAAATCAATCCTGTGCAGCAACCAATAGAAAAAAAAACAATAACACACATTCTTTTGGCAATCTTTCTAGTGCAGAGACAAGGCAAAACACCACAAACTTCCAGGTTCAACTCCAGCAACCCTCACAACCTGAGAACTGGATGGCAAAGAAAAATGTCATTGGCAGATCCAAAAGCTCTGTATAATATCTGTGTATTTAGCTGTTTTCCAAAGTTCAGCTTTAATCATCTCAAGTCCAGACACTTTCACGTCCTTTTAGTCCAGGCCAATTTTCAGATTTCAGCAATTACTCAGCCATGCAACACTGTATCCAAATAACCATTATCATTTATAGAGCTTTTTTTTGCTATATAAATGAAAAAACAAATTGTAAAAAAACTTTTTTTATATTGCATTCTGATACAATTTTGGTGAAAATAACTCAAAACAGTGTGTATTATTTAGTCTGTATAAAAATTATAGATCCTACAAACTATCATATACGTTTGAAAACTTATCAGTCCTAATGTACTGACTGCTTAGCATCTAATTTTCTGAGGCCCTAAAATGCCAGGATACATACAAGAAGCCCTTTAAGGTGTTCTAGGGGCATACATTATGCATCTAAATTCCTGAATATCTATCACATTTTTAGAGATCCTAGGACACTGGCTCTGCTGACACTGGTACTGGTATGGCTGTGATCAAGACACTGGTAAGGGAGTGATCAGGACACTGGTGTGGCCATGATAAGGACACTGGTATGGCAGTGATCAGGACACTGGTATGGCAGTGATCGGGACATGGGTATGGCAGTGATCAGAATGCTGGTATGGGGTATGGCAGTGATCAAGATGCTGGTATAGGGTATGGTGGAGATCAGGACAGTGGTATGGGGTACAGCAGTGATCAAGATTCTGGTATACAGTATGGCACTGATAAGGATGATAGTATGGTGTATGGTGGTGATCAGGATGCTGGTATGGTGTATGGCAGTGATCAGGATTCTGGTATGGTTTATAGCAGTGATCAGGACACTGGCATGGTGTATGGCAGTGATCAGGGCACTAGTATGAGGCATTGCGGTGATCAGGGCACTAGTATGAGGCATTGCAGTGATCAGGACACTGGTATGGGGCATGGTGGTGATCAGGATGCTGCTTTAGTGTATGCAGTGATCAGGATACTGGTATGAGGTATATAGGTGATCAGTCTTGTTGCTACCTGTCATGTTGTGACATCATGACATCCTCACATTAAGGATATTAGACATTCTGATGTACACTATATTGTCAAAAGTATTGAGACACCCCTACAAATCATTGGATTCAGGTGTTCCAATCACCTCCATGGCCACAGGTGTATAATATCAAGCACCTAGGCATGCAGACTGCTTCTACAAACATTTGTGAAAGAATGGGTCACTCTCAGGAGCTCAGTGAATTTAAACATGGTACTATGATAGGTTGTTACCTGTGCAAAAAGTCCACCCATGAACTTTCCTTGCTACTAAATATTCCACCGTCAACTGTTAGTGCTTATTATAACAAAGTGGAAGCAACTGGGAACAACAGCAACTCAGCCACGAAGTGGTAGGCCATGTAAAATGACAGAGCGGGTCAGAGCATGCTGAAGAGCACAGTGTGCAGAAGTCTCCAAATGTCTTCAAAGTCAATAGCTAAAGACCTCCAAACTTCATGTGGCCTTCAGATTAGCACAACAACAGTGCTTAGAGAGCTTCATGGAATGGGTTTCCATGGCCGAGCAGCTGCATACAAGCCTGATATCACCAAGTACAATGCAAAGCATCGGATACAGTGGTGTAAATCACGCTGCCACTGGACTCTAGAACAGTGGAGACATGTTCTCAGGAGTGATGCATTGTGCGAAGTGTATAATTTGGTGGAGGGAGGATTATGGTGTGGGATTGTTTTTCAGGGGTTGGGCTTAGCCCCTTAGTTCCAGTGAAGGGAACTCTTAAGGCTGTCAGCATACCAAGACATATTGGATAATTTCATGCTCCCAACTTTGTGGGAACGGTTTGGGGATGGCCCCTTTCTGTTCCATCATGACTGCACACCAGTGCACATAGCAAGGTCCATAAAGACATGGATGAGCGAGTTTGGGGTGAAGGAACTTGACTGGCCTGCACAGAGTCCTGACCTCAACCCGATAGAACACCTTTGGGATGAATTAAAGCAGACACTTTGAATTGGGTGGGTCAACTCAATATTGAACTAAAACTAAATATATGGACTAAAATGGGATGCCATTAAAGTTCATGTGTAAGGGCATGCATCCCAATACTTTTGGCAATATAGTGTACCTTAGAGACCCCTAGGATGGACATTTACATAGGCCAATGTGAATAATTCACAAGGGAGTAATGTGGATCTTTCCATACTACAGCCCAGAAGAAAGAGGTATTAGGACTGAACCTGCCATGTGATAAAAATTTTAGGTAAGAAATCATAGCTTTTATTTTTAATATGCTTATTTAACCTTCCCCTCATTCAATGATTGTTTTGTTGTTTTACTTTTAAATTACCTTAAGTGCACTGTTCTAAATTCTAATGCTTTTCCACAGTTTCAAATTAAGCACATAGGGTAAATATACAAGGTTACCTTCAATGGAGTCTATATATGTATTTATAGCAGAGAGCAGACACCCTTATCCACTCTCCACTGTACTCTACAAAGTTTCTCTACACTGCAACCTGTGCTTTATATACCATTCATAAAATGCAAGCCAAGGTGTGGATCTTTCTCCGCTTAATGCTCTTGACAGTCCTTGTAACTACAAGCTTTTTCCCCTTTCATTTATTTTAATATTATTTGCTTGGGCAGTTTGTGTTTTTATTTTTTAAGCAGAATTATGGCTGCAGTAAATCCATTGCTCTATACATAGGGTCCTATATGTCAAAAATATCAGACGATTTAGAAATATAAGCAGCACCAGTAACATGCAGATCTTGACCTTTTCTATGTTTAACTTAGTGCTACCTGCTCCTGACTACCAAGCCTACCTACTCATCAGTTACATTGTCTATCCCTAGGGCCACTAGGGAGTCCTGGGAGGCAACAAAGGTTGGACCTGAACTTTTACAAGAAAAGGTTGAGATTTGCATATTCCTTTAGCTGCCTGTATCTTTAGATCTACTGATTGCTCTGACATATTTACTTCACTGACGTTAACCTCTGCATTTGTATTTTCTCATCCAGTGCAGTCAGAATTGCACAAATTGGTGAAAGGTTTAGGAAAAATAAGTCCATGATTTTGCTGAACACAATTTTTTATTTAACCACCTCATTACCAGACACTTTCACCCCCTTCCTGCTCAGGGCAATTTTGAGATTTCAGGTCTGTTACATTTTGAATGACAATTACTGAGTCATACAACACTATACCAAATTAAATCCTTATCCTGTTTTTAAAACAGACAGAGCTTTCTTTTGTTATATTTAATCACCACTGGGTTTGTTTTTATATTTTTGCAATTTAAATGAAAAAATAACAAAAACTTGAAAAACATTTTTTTTGTTTCTGTTATAAAATTTTGCAAATAAATACTTTTTCTTCATAAATTTAGGCTAAACTGTATTCTGCTGCATTTCTTTTGTAAAAATAACTTACATCAGTCTATATTATTTAGTCTGTGTGAAAGGTATAGAGTCTATAAACTGTGGCATATACAGTATATTTAAAAATTGATCAGTTGTGATGTACTGACTGCCTATCTAATCTTTTGAGGCCCTAAAATGCCAGCACAAATACCCCCCCAAATCACATACTTTTGGAAATTAGACATCCCATAGTATTTAAAAAGAGGAATGCTGAGTTTTTTGAAGTTGTAACTTTTTGTCACAATTTTGAAGAGATTCATTTTTTTTTTAAACAAAGTCGTCATTTTAAGAAGTAATTGCTCACACCAAAATATATTAATTATTTAATTATATTATATAATTACACCCCAAATCACATTCTGCTATGCCTCCTAAGTACGGGGATACCACATGTGTGAGACTTTTTTACAGCCTAGATGCATAGAGGGGCACAAACTCCAAGGAGCACCTTTGGTGTTTCAAGCAGCATTCATTAAGCATACATTGCAAATCTAATTTCCTGACTACCTATTGCATTTTTGTAGGCCCTGGAGCACTTTGATAGTGGAAACACCCACAAAATGACCCTGTTTTGGAAAGCAAACACTCCAAGGTCTTTTGTAAATGTCATTTATGACACACAATTTATATGATACTTCTAACACACATCATAAGCATACTTAGAATTACACCACAAAACACATTCAACCACTCCTCCTGAGTATGGTGATACCACATGTGTGAGACTTTTTCACAGCCTAGCAATATAGAGGGGCCCCTTAATGCTTCCTAGGGGCATTGCTTATGCCTCTAGTTTTCTGACTACCTTTTTAAATTTTCGGAGGACCTTGAGCACCTGGATAGTGGAAACACCCACAAAATGACCACATTTTGGAAATTAAACTCAGCATGGTGAGTCTTTTGAAGACTTTATATTTTTGTCAGAAGTATTTGGAAAATGTGAAAAGAAAATTTAAATAATTTTTTTAAAATTAATTTGTCAATTTAATAGAATATTTCTCATATGCAACATAGGCTTACTTAGAATTACAACCCAAAACATATTCTACTACTCCTCCCGAGCATGGAGATACTACATGTGTGAGACTTTTTCCATTTTTGGACTGATTATACACAGGACATATCTTTTGTATCACACAAATCAACCAGTTTCTATAAACCAAGCCAGCTTAGCTTATTAGTACGTGGCTGACCCAAGGAATGCCATGTGTCACTGGCCTGATGTCTCACAGGAACATAGTCAGTGGAATGTGTAGATGGGTCAGTTCAGGCCACAAGCGGACACATGGTCAGCAAACAGGAAACAGATCAGTCCAGGTGACAGTCAGAAATATGGTCTATAAACAGGCCAGGGTTACCACAAGCAGCACACAGAGGTAACACTGCACTGGTGTGGTGGTAATCAGGGGCAATATTACTGATATGGCGGTGATCAGGAACATGGTAACTGTTGTGACAGTCATCAGAGACACTGTAAGTGGTGTGGTGGTGATTAGGGACAATACAACTGGCATGGCAGTGATCAGAGACAATATGACTGGCGCGGCAGTGATCAGAGACAAAATGACTGGTTTGGCAGTGATCAGGAACATTTTAACTGATGTGGCAATGATTACGAACAATATGACTGGTGTTGTGATCATGGACACTGCAACTGATGTGGCATTGATCAAAGTCAATATTAATGGTTTGGCAGTAATCAGGGACTGATTACTGATTACTGACTGGTGTGAAAATGGTCAGGAACACTCTAAATGGTGTGGCAATAATTATGGACTTGGGTTTGTGGTGATCAGGGACACAGTAACTGGTGTGGCAGTGATTAGGGACACTGTAACTGGTGTGTCTGTGATTAGGGAAAATATGATGGATGTAGTGTTGATCAGGGACACAGTAACTGGTGTGGTGGTAATCAGAGTTATTGTAACTGGTGTGGCAGTGATTAGGGACAATATGACTGATGTGGAAGTGATCAGGGACACTATACCTGGTGTGGCAATGATTAGAAACAATATGACTGGCTCTGGTGGTGATTAGGGACACTGTGAGTGGGTGGTGGTGATTAGGGACACTATGAGTGGACAGCAGTGATTAGGAATACTGACTGGCAGAACTGGTCTGGTGACATTGTACTGTTGTGGCATTGATCACAGATAATGACTGGCAGCCCTGAAATACAGTAATATCAGAGAAGCCAGTCATTGTACATGATCACCACAGCCGAGGTCACACCACCACAATGTCACCATAGAGACACTTAATTTGCTCTGGAGTATGTTATCAAAAATATAAATATATACTGTATATATATATATTTTTTTAAACTTTTTTAAACATTTGTTTTACATATTGTAACCGGAGCAATGAATTATCACCATGGTGACACTGTATTGCTCGAGGGGGGGGGGGGTGATCAGGGATTTTTTTTATACTGTAATTGCTTCTTACAGTGATGGTCACTGTAATAGGTAACACTGTTCAACAAATTTTTATTTTTTGCCAGTTTTGGATACAAAAGGATCCATTTCTTAATGAATTTCACATTCTGAGTTCAAATATAACAATGAAATTTGTCAATTGGCTCTAGTTTTTCTGTAAACGGAAAGTTTTCTACTATAGGCGTAATGACTACATAATGCACAATAATTATATAGATAGATGTCTTTCCACAAATATAAAGCAAGTGATATTGACTACATAACAAAGCCTAAATGGCATAATATATTGCATAGGATTACCAAGAAAAATTATAGCCATAAGCTAAGTTGAATCATTTTAATACTTAGGATTCTCAATAGTTTTGTCTTCAGTTTGTGTCGGTTTTGCTTCTCTTGGCTTTTCTCTTGTATTCGAGGAAAGGGCTATCTCTTACAACTGCACGTGACTACACGCTTCAGGTTCTTCCTCACTTGACTCAACCACGAAGGATTCTGGTGCTTTAGGAATTGGTAGCCCCTCTCCATGAGGAACTGGACGTATTGCCGATGGAATATTTGGATAGTGCACAGATAACTTTTTCTTCTTATTTAGCCCTTTTACAATTGGAGGCACCATACAAAAGTAACAATTACTAACATGATCTGTTGGCTCTCTCCAAATCATTGGCACAGCGAAAGGCATAGATGCCTTTTTTCCATTCAACCATTGCTCCAGTGCCATCCCACAAGAATTGCAGCAAATATGTGGTGCCCAGCTCTTGTCCTGGTCTCCTATCTTGCAGCCAA